TGCATAATGCTGTATACAGCAACTTTAAAGCCCTGAAGTCTTAAGTGTTGTAAATTGATTGAGTAAAACAAATTTTTTTATAGCCCCTAGATGAAAATACAAACATTTATTATAAAGTGAAACAAATACATACCTTGCAAGATCTTTATTAAATAATATAATAAGTACTTTATTTTGGCCAAGTGTTAAGTATAAGTATATTTATAGGTATACAATTTATAAAAACTTGTAGAATATTTGTTGCGTTTATAAAACTCTAAGCAAAGATTTCTCCAGATTATAAAGTTCCATTATAATTTATTTTATTCGCAAACTTTAAGTACAAAACTTTGTTATGATCGTATTGAATATAGTAGCCTTGCGCCTTTTATTCCACCATTCCGAACTCTATTAAAATCGCATTTGCTTCTTGTATATGGCCCCAATCAACACCCATTTATCGATATAGTATATCCGCCACCAATTGCTCGAAATTGAGTTGAGGGACTTTCTCGATTGAGTCCCCCACTGCGAGCCGTCTTAAATTGCTGGCGTAGCTTTTGTTTTGCCCCGCAAAACGCGCCCCCTTTTGAGGCCTGGTCGCAGTATATGACCATCTAATTGGAAGCGTACAGTGAGGACACTTGTGCTCCAGCCAGTTGCGAGATAAATCATCCGCCTTGGTGGCAAACAAGGATACGAATAAGGATGGAGATGAGGATGCCCCACGCGGAGTCGCCCAGCGAGCGGGCGGCATTAGCTGCCAGTGTCATTGCCATTGTCAGCGGCATATCATCGTCCTCATCCGCATCCAGATCCGCATCCGCGTCACACTCCTCTGCATCATCCGCTACCATCATCATTGTCCTATTCCTATTCGCATTCGCATTCGTATTCGCATTTGGTTCCGCATCAGCGTCAAAGTCCTGCTGCTGAACCGCTGAAATCCGTGCTGTGTCCGGGGCCATATAAATTTCAGCAATGAATGAATCAACTTTACGAACATCGGGGACACATGTGACTTGCTTTACGGCGCTTCCCCTTCCCCATCCTTCACACTTCTGGCACTGAAAAAAATTATCTTGAGTATACAAAACATATATTTTTGCGAACATAAGTATATTAAATTTTGTTATTGAATTTTTAAACATTACATTTCTGAATAAAATACATACATAAGTGCAATTATAAGCTAACAGGATGTTAGCATTTGGACAGCAGAAATAATAAAGACAAATAAATCATCCGAAGATTAAGAGTTTTTGTATTGAAATATTTAATATTTAAGTTATAAATTACTGAGTGAAATAAACAGAAGTGATTTACATTTAAAGCCAACACACTTGTAGTAAATGGTTAATATTGAGATTTAATAGATTTGAATAAAGTTTCCAAAACTTGGGAGGCAAAAACAAATCTTGAAAATTTTATGGTTTTTATTTTGCTGGCTTGGGAAAAAAGTCATACCAAAATAATTATGTATTTATGAATTTCATTTATGAATACTTACAATTTTAAGTTATAAAACGATTTATTTTTGGTCTGCTAACGTATTTTTTTATTTTGTATAATATTTAAAATTTTATTTTTTCCTAAAAGTATTATTTATTATGTTTTTTAAGCCAAAAAACATTTATATTCTTACTGTGTAAGATCTTATGTGTGTGCGTTTAATGTGCCTGTGTGTTTTGGGCAGTTCACTTGATATGCTCACTCGCCCTCTATCTGCATCCAAACTTGGACTTGTCAATGGCAGGAGTGGGAGTTGGGTGCTGGATTCTGGGATCTGGGAACTGGGATCTGGGGCTGGGCATCTGGAATATGGGTGGCCGGGTGATGGGTGATGGGAATAAGCTGCCACTATAATTACAGCAAAGGCCAAAGGCCGGGCTAAAGATATTTGTATCTAGTTTCTTTACTGCTGGATTTACTGCCCAACCAGATAGAGTGTGGTATGTGGAGAGGGGGGAGGGGGGATGCCCAGATAACTGGTGTCCGGAGCAACCATTGTGAAGATGGATTACCATGGCGGCAGCGTCAACAGTTTTTCTATGTACGAGCATGTTTGCGTGGGCGTGTGTCTTGTTAAAACTGCCAACTGATTATTATCACCTTCCGACTGGCAGGCCAGTCATTGACACCCATTTCTGGCCTCGTCCTTCAGCCGGGCCATCAAGTATCCGCGATAGTACACTTGGAAAATTATGACGAATTCTAAAAAAATACATAGTTAATTACCGTCTTCAAAATAATTAATCTTACCCTTAATTAGTATTTCACTCTTAGTAATATATATCACATATTTTGAGGAATATGCTTAAATTAAACACTTTTAATAAAATTTGTGCCATTTAAAAGTTTGCATGCTTAAAAAGTATTTACAAATTCAGTTAAAATGGGAATAGCTGAAATAAAAGTTATACGAATTTTTGTTAAAATATATAGATATATAATTTTAGTTAAGACGAAATCGAATGTTATCTTATTTTTACCGTTGATTTGAGTGTGTTTTGTTTTATTAATAAAAAAGGATTAATACAAATAAATTAGGAAAAAATTTAAACGTTATAACCAACTAACTTGGATTGAAAGTATACTTTATATTTTTTTTCGGTACACTTGAGCGATGCTGAAGCTGAAACTTCTCGGACTCAGCCACGCCCACCGCCCCGAGTGGCGCCCTCTGGAGTCTGTCACTGGCAGAAGTCGTTTGCTGTTTGCTTTATTTCTTTTTCTCCGTCTCCGTCTCCGGCTCCATCTCCTTTTTCACTTTCTCCTCCCCCGTCCACTTCATCGTGCTTTGCGGCAATGAATCGCAGTTTTTGATTAGCTACAGACAGCTGAAAGGACGAAGAAGGGGAAGGGGGTGGTAGGAAGGACGAATTATATAACCGTGGTAACCTCTGCAGAGTTTTTCTTTTGTTTTACATAATTCGGTCGCCACTTAATTACTGTTCTGTTTGCGACTTCGAAATTGGGTTCCACATTTTGGGTTTTGAAAAGGAAAGTTACTTGTACAATGTTAAATTAACTTTTTGTTACCATAAATATCAATTATATTTGGCTCATTAATTTATAATTTTTAATTCAAAGAAAGGTAAAACATTTCTAAACTTGAAATTTTTCAGTATTTGTTTTAACTTGAGGAATTGTTAAAACGCAATCACATCATATAAATTAAAGTAAATTTGTTTAATTTACTTTGTACAATTTGTGGCATTTTAAATGCAACAAAAATGGATTTAAGCCAAATGTAATAAAGCAGCATAAATTGTCGATCGATTTTGCATTCATTACGAAAGACGGCGGGTGGGCGGGGCTATAACAATTTACGACCTGCGACCCATAAAATATGCAGCTTATAAATTGAATAATTTATACAGGACCTCACACAGGATAGACAAACAAAGTCAGATTGAGATATGAGGCATTGTTAATTCATAAATGAACTCGGTTGGCTGCTGAGCCAAAAGTGCTTACAAGTAAATAAATGGTGCCACGCCATGATAAACTATAGTGCAGATTTGCGTTCGAATGCAGGTGCAGATGTAAATACATACGGATTCTCAGATAACTGCTGCAGAAGAGGGCTTAAGCGGTATGTGCAGATTTCTGCTTTTGTTTGCACTGCGGCGGTTTTCTGCCGTGCGCACTGCTTGTAAAACCAATAAAATCAATTAAAAGGCACTATGTTGAGCAAACAATTATATGCAAATTTATTTATACACACACAGCCAACTAGAAGCACGCAATGCAACGAGAGCGGAGAAAGCGTAGTGAAAGTCAAAGCTGCAAACGGTTTTATACCTGTCAAGTGTGTGTTAGATGGGTATATTGCGTTTACGGAAAACGCTCGAAGTTCTCAACTGTTTTGTGAATAGATCTTGTATAGCGATTAACGATGTCAAGAGATTTACATATCTCTTTGTGAAATGGATTAGTATGAGTAAATATCCTTCAAGCTTACATCATCAACAAAATACAGAATTTTAAGTTTAACACTACAATTATAACATTTGTAGAATTTCAGTTGGTTTAAAATTTAAACTTAATTTAAAAATGGTAGATCGTTAACTACATTTATTTGATTTAAGCTAATTAATAAAAAAGTATATATGTATGTATATATATATGCTATTTTTGAGTAACCAATTCTTTTAAACAAAAAGAGTAAGTATAATCTCAATCGTATATTGCATAGTTGTTCTAAACATAAAAAGATAAAAATAATGTGCTATACAACTACTTTTTTTTTTAGATCAGTTTTCTGCGGGGTATCTACAATTCGAAGGACTAAACTGCCGAACTTTCCCCTAGTATTTGCATATGCCGCAAAAAACAAGCCCGTAAATAAATATTAATATACACGGACTTCTGGGCAGCAGAAAAAATAAAGCAAAATGGCAACAAGCAAAACAACAACAGAGCTAGGCTCAAAGCAAAGGCAATGAAAACACAAGGAGGCGGGGGGAAAATGGTTCGGGGGCGGGGCCAAAGGACGAAAGACAAGCGGGCAGAGTGAACCTGTTGCGCACAACAACAACAATCCGCACGAAACAAACAACAACGGAAGCAAAAACAACAATACCAGTATACAAAGGTCCTGTGAAAAATCGCTGCTCCTTGCGAAAGCCGAAACGGAATGGCATGGAAATGGAACTGGCGACACAAAAACCTGGGAGCAAAAGAGCCAAAAGAGAGCGGTTGAAAGGCCGATTGAAAGGCTGGTTGAAGCAAAGAGAGCAAAAAAGAGCTGCGCATGCGCTGAGAAAAAGTAGAACAAGCAGGCCAAGGAAATTGAAAGCGAAACGTTTCATCAGAAAGAGAGCGCGAAAAGAGAGAGGAACGTTTAAGTAACGAAACAGTTGATAGCTCAATTGACGCTGCTCAAAAATAAAACCCGTGGATGGGGAAAGTTGCGGGTGGCAAGAGAAAGAGAGAAAGCAGCAGCAGCCAGCCTCGTTAGCAGTTTTCCACTTCCCGGCGTTCCGCTTTTCCGTTGTCAGTCGTCGCGTGTGCGTGAAAATCATTAGTCTTCGTTAGGCGGTCTTTGTGTCAACAACGTGTTGCTTGGAAAATCGTGTGAAAAATCGCCATCGAAAGCCAACATTCGCCCCTCGCGATTTTCGCTCGCGCTTTTCAGCTCGTCTATCACAAGGACCTACAATAAAAAAAAAACAACAAATTGTTTGTGTGTGTGTGCGTTTTTGGCCCCCATTAACGAGTGTGCGTGCCAAAGTGCAACAAGTCTCGGCCGTAATTTAATTGCAACAATTTCCCCGATTTGAACAAGTGCAAAACACGGCTCGATCGTATCGGCCAAGCAGATATATCAGTGCAGCAGTGTTCGTGCAAAGTGGAGCATTCATCTCCCCAAAAAACAAGTCAAGTAAGTTCCGCTTTTGGTCTGAAGCAAGTAAAACAGAAAAAATGGTAAAGGACGAAAGAAAGCACAGAAATGTCCTTATTTGAGCAGCATTCTGTTTGGCGCAGTACACAGAAACCAAGCTAGTGAATGATTGAATTTACTTAAAAAAATTTCCCTTTTTTTAAAATAAACAAATATGAAATATATTTCAAACGATAGCAAACAAATAAGAAATAGACTTTATACTTTATACTTATGAAAGAAGAGCCAAATATTTTTTATATCAAAAAATACCTCTCAAAAAATTAAAAAAAAACGAATGTAAAACGAATTTTGTTTTGTCAAAAAAACAGTATGTTGTTTGGTAAGAAAAAGTGATTTTAATTTTGAGCTCAAAAACCTTGAACTCTGACAATTTAAAACTAAAATTTTGTTTCTTGTGAAATACGAATTTTGATAAAAACATTTTTTTTTATTAAAAACAAGATTTAGTAAGAAGATAACGTATTTATTATATAATTATTCTATGATATGTGGTGACAAAAATTAATAATTCTTACATAGGCACAATACTTAAAACAATAAACTTTGAGTACCTTTATATTCAAGTACATCATTTTCTTTTGAGTGTTTTAAGCAACAAAATCATTTTTAGATTTTTTGGACTCTAGGATATACCTTCGAATCAAACTTTACTAAATACCGACATTGTTGAGAAAGTAGCAAAACATTGTAAACAAAAATGGTTGAAGTAAAAGCTTAGTATGGAATTTTAAAAACTTATAGAAAAATTCTTTCTAAAGTCGCACTTATGATGAAATCACTATTTTTGGTAGTTTCGAAACTTAAAGCCTTTTAAGCTTAGAATTGCCGGTTTTTAGAACAAAACACTTGACATTCTCCTCCGTGCGTGTTTGTGTGTGTGTGCCGACTTTCGACATATTTCTTTGTGGGTCAATAGACGCTCAAACACTCGGAGGACGAGAGAAGCTGCCAGCGAGGACAAACGCACAATAAGAGCGAAGGAAATCATGTTTCTATGATGTATACTTATGCGTATTTATACATATTGCCCTGCTAAGTGGGCTAAACAAATTCAGCGAATTCCTTCGCAGTTGGAAAACTTTTGCCAGACAAACAAACAAACAAAAGCAGCAGCACCAGCAGCAGCGGCGGCAGCAAACAAAGGCAAACAAATCCCTGGGACATTTCTCGGAATTTAATTCAATGAAATGAATTCCAGTTCTCGGGCAACCAGGGTGTCCTTTTCCACTCTTGCTTTCAAAGTTGTTTTTCATTTTTTTTCTTATTCTCGGCTAAATGTCTGCAAATTAACTTTGCGAAAAGCAAAGAAAAACGCATAACGAACGAAATTCCATTTGACAAATCGCAAACGTAAATAGATCCTCCGAAAAGTGTCTGCAAGTCGGGATTTTTAAATGCAATTTAAGTTTGTGGAACTCACTTGGCCGATTCTCCGCTCCTCCGCTCCTTTTCCACTGATAAATGGCGAAGACCAAAAGTTGCGAAATTTAACATTAACCTTGGCGCTTGGCCGTAGCTCTTTCCAGATCCGTAAGCCCACAAAAACCTCGTGTAATAGACTCACAGCCAAAAACTAAATCACTGTCATTGTGGTCGGAGATTCACAACCCGAAATGCGGACACACATGCAGTGCAAAATTTACAGCAGAGCACAAAATGATAGCAGTATTTTTGCAAGGTTTTCAATGAGAAACAAAAATCTACTTTCTTTACCATTATTATTAGTTTTTATTAAGCAAATTATTTTATTAAATTTCCTTTTTATATTTTATGTAAAAGAAAACGTATGCGTGTTTAAGAAGTCTTGATGAATTGAAATTGTGGACATGCAATAAAACTTATTTGTTAAAAATAGCTTAAGTGCTTCGAAAACCGCCAAGTGTTCGCTTTATATAAACCCTCAATCATTCTAAAAAAAGCTAAAAATAAGAAAATTAAAAAAAAAAATAGTTTTGCAGAACTATTTCAGTGTTACCATCGAAGCTCAACTACTATTGTTTTGACCGCGTTTGTTAATATAGAGAGGAGAATCAGAGAGATAAAGCGAAGTGGGCTGGAATCACAGCAAAGCGAGGAAGAGGCAACTATTGTTAGGCAATGATTTGCAATTTGTTTGAAAAATGCATTCACAACCACAAAAGACAAACAATCCGAGAGGGGAGCTAAGCCGAGCACAAATAAAACCATAAACAAACGCACCGAGCCAAAGCCCAGATAGAGATACATATACATATACAGATACAGATAGAGATACAGATACAAATAGCTGGCTGCACAGATGCGGATGCGGCTGCAGTTTGCAGTTTGCGGATTGCTGGATTGCTTTGGCTTTCAACTCGGAAAGCGAAAGCTGACAGGGAGCTGGAGCTGCACCGCAGAGAAGTGGGAATTATATAAAATTGCAGCCACAACCGTCAATTGCTGGGCAACCAAATGTCCGCCCCGAAAACTCCCCTTCCCCTTCCCGTTCCCGCATTCTGCCTCATCAGCAATCCGCGACAATTCTTGGCAAACTACTGCTCCGAACGCTCCACTTTCCTCTTTCTACTCGGGCACTCCATCAACTGCTTAGGGAGAAAGTGGCAAGTGGGAAAGTGGGGGAGGCAATTTCACATGCGGAACCCGCTGCACCAAACTGCATACAATTACAAAAGCAAGATGCAAAATGTGCATCCAAGTATCTGCCAGATACTTAATAGCAGCAGCTGAAGCAGCAGCTGAAGCACCAGTGGAAGCAGTAGTGGGAGCAGCAGTGGAAACAGCACCAAATGGCTCGGAATGCCAAACGAATTCATATTTGATGTATGTATGCATGAGCCAGCAGCTAAGGATGTTCAAAGGAAATGCCAAATGAGATGTTTAAGCATATTTTTCGCAGGGAGTTCTCTGGCAGCACAGTAAACTCCGTGTGAATGCTGATTGGGAAGCACGAAAGTTGAAAAATTATGGAATGTTTAGGAAAAGGATAGGAAATAAGCGGAACAAGATCGATTGTATTCATTACATTAGGGAATATTTGAGAAATTAAATAAGGGTAGGCGAATCTGATAAAACAATATGTGCAAATTTGTTTTAAAATTATTTTGAGGGAAAACATTTATAAAGAATAAGCTTAAATACTCTTCCTAGAATTTTGATTAGTTTGTAAGGTCATTATACATTAGTTTATAAGGTCTAAAAATAAGAAATCAATAGAATATTGTTGTGCCATGAATCACTTTGTTTAATTATTTATGCACTGCTAGTGCATAAAGAAGACTTTCTTTGAGTAAAGTTTTAATATTAACTTAGAATGTTTGAGAACTTTTAGAATAGTTTATTTATAATTATGAACATTCATAGCACTTGAAGACACCTCAAACTCTCGTGACCTCAAAAATGCCCCAGCGATGATTGTTCGCCTGCCTGCCAATTAATATGTCAAGTCAAGTGTCGGAAGTTGTTGGTTTTCGGCTCGCGAAAGGCTTTTCCCCTCCGAACGGCGCGCTTTTCCAACTTTTCCACGCGATTGGCCGCAACATTCCCCGACACGTGTTCCCCGGCCCAACTTTGTTTTAAATCAATTAAAGAGCAGGAACTGTGGTGGACGACGGACTGACCGATCCCGAGCAATTTGCGGCACATATCCTGGGAATCTCGGTGGAGCGACTCAAATGAAATGTCACGCAAGCAAATGAAATGCGAGACAGGCCAAAAAGGAAGCCAGTTCCAGTGCCATTTGCCATTTGCCATTTACCATTTGCCTGGGAGCGTCAGGAAGCTATTAAATCTACATAAAATTGTAGAAATGTGTGGCATGTTGAGCAATTACAGCTCCATGTTGGTGGGGAAAATGCGGAAAGCATGAGGGCGGACGCACCTTTCGGCTGACATGCTCATCTGAATGTAAAGCTTGGCCATGTTTCAGTGGTTTCACCATCCATCCCCCTTTCTCCACCCACCTTGTACTATAGTTTTGTTCTCGTTGTTGTGCAGCTTAAGAGCCGTTAGGAAATTGCACTTGCCATGGCCACCCAGTTTTTGCAGCCCCTTTTTGCCCGCGAAGTGGGCGTGTGAAAAAAGAATTAAAGTCAAGTGAGCGCACTGAGACTGAATACATAAAACGGGGCAGGAAAATGGTTAGTGGGTATGAGAAGCAGTGAAAAGGCATTCAGTGGGCGTGGCTGCATGCACAGCAACAGAAGAAACACCAAACAGCCAGCAACATCAACGTCAACGCCAAGGAAAAGCCGGAAAAATGGCTCGCCACCACAACAACAACAATAACAATAAGAACAAAAGGAGCCGGGAAATATGGTACTCTGCATGGCTATTTGCCCATTTTTTCTCTTCATTTTTTTTAGGTGCCTTCCCTTGGCGAGAAAGGTATAATTTTCGGCGCGACATTTGACGCGACCAGGACCAAAATGAAATACACAAAAGTTTGCCCTTTTTTCACCGGACGTTTTAAGCTTTTCCTGGCCGAAAAGTTGAAGTCCAAGATCCTAATCGCGCTTAGCCTGAACGAGCAATTATTTGGGCATTTATCAAAGATTTCCTTTTTGGAGTTGGGTGAGCTCAAGGCGAAAAACCAGAAAATCTGACAGCTTGTATGAGATATATTTTTAACAAAAACTGGAGTTCAGTTTGCTCTCGAATGCATGAGTTGTTTTTAAAGAAATATCTAGAGATCTTTTATTTAAACATTTCCATTCCAAAATCCACACCCATTACCAGTTCACAACCCTGTCAATATACCCAAATAGATTTTTTCACTCCCAACTGAGCCAATTTTTTTTCTGTGAAATATTAATTAGCATAAAATACACACCAAAATCCGTTCCGCTGGGGCAGCGAAAGGAAAAGTAAAAATAGCAAAAGGAAAATTATGGGAAAGGGAAATAGAAGAATGCGGGATAATGGGGTAGGGACACGACACCGGGCAAGGGTCAGGATGGGAAATGGCAACAGAAATTGATAAGAAATCTGATGATTCA